CACTGGGCCGCCGCGCCCCGCGCACGTACACGTGGCCCCCACGGGCCCGCGGCTTCAGCGCGCGCTCGCGGGGCCGTGCCGGGGAAGGCGGCGATCTGGTTGCCAGTGCCCAGGACCCGGTGCGCTCTGCTGTGCGCAGGCGGTTTCCTGGTGCGCCAGGGACCCCACGACCGACCGACCCCGACCGTGGCGAGAGGAAGAGGCCTGGCTCCGGGGGACACATACCTGCGCGGTGAAGGGCCAGAGTGCCGGGCGCAGTTACCCCGCGCGTTGTCCGCGCCCCCTCCTAGGGCCAGCGCGCAGCGAGCAAGGTGGGCGCTGCGTCCTCTGGTTGCTGGCAGAGGTGGTCTGGGAACGCTGGCGGGTCCATTTCCTGGCCAGACCCTCCTCTTCGTGGTGCCCCGAGTCCCCCCATCCTCTCCCCCTTCCCCTCCTTCCCCCGTCGGGCGCACCCAGTCCTGCGGGTCCTTGCCCTGCCCGTCACTGACCACAGGCCACAGGCTAGGCGCCTGCCAGGAAGAACCACAGTCGCTCAGACCTGTCCTAGAGGTACAGCACTCCCCACCCCCATACCATTGTGTCCCCGGCACAGGCTCTGGAGCGGCCGAGTGGGGGCTCAGACTGGCTTTGCCTCTGCAAAAGGACAAGGGTCCTTCTCCGCCACATCCCTAAGCTGAGAGCAGAGCCCGGGAAGCACCTTTCTGTGCTTTTCACGTCCTTATCCGCAGCGCCAGCACATTGGTAGCCACTCAGGAAGTGCAATCCCGCGCTGCTGCCCTGAGCCTCTCTCCAGCTCCCCTGACCTCAGCCCCAGCGGCCCAGCCTAGGTTTGCTGCCTCCTGGATCCCTGCCCTGGTGTTCCCCCACCCTACCCCCGGGGTGTGCCTGAGTCATGCGTGGCCAGGCACAACACAGAGGACCTCCTGCTGGTTTTATTGGGAATTCAATGAGGCGCTAAGGCCACCTGCCTGTCCTCTGCCCCAAACCCCTGGAGAACAGCGGTAACAGTAGCCAGAGCTTTGCAGGGTTGAGCACTCACTGTGTGCCAGGCACTGTGCCAAGCACTTAGATGCACGGAACTCATCGGATCCTCGCCACTCTACTAGGTACATACTGTTATCATCCCCATTTTGCACGTGGGGGGATGAGGCACAGAGAGGTCAACTAATGAGCCCGAGGTCACACAGGTAGTAAGTGGAGGCACTGAGATTCAAACCCAAGCAGGTAAGTCCGGAGCCAGCATCCTACCCCAAGCTACCCTTAGCTGTTCCTTCAGCACCTCTGCTCTTTCATACCCGCAGATCTTAACTGTGTCCCTCTCCACTCAAAAGAACTCCTGAATTCCATCTCCTGAACTCCAGCCCCAGGTTTTAGACCCAAATGTCACTTCCCCTATCAAGCCTTCTTGGCTCTCAGTTGTGCGGTGCTCCCTTGGCTCCCTTCCCAGCATCTTTTGCACCATCCACTAGGGTCACTGGCACCCAGCTGTCTCTCTGCAGGACACTCACTCCTGGCCCAGCACTTGGCTCAGAGGAGAGCACCCCATTCCTGTTTGTGAAATGAGTGTCTGGGAGTGGCCCCTGCGGGAGTCTGCACAATCCTGTGCCGTTATGGTTGTTAGGACCCATGGTCGGGGGTTAGGATGGAGGGCAACCAGAGAGCGGGCAGAGAGGTGAAGAGAGAAGTCGATGTCTCACCCTCGGCTAAGCCCTCCAGGTGGCTCAAAACTGCCCGCTTTGTGACTGGGCCCCTCGGTGAGTCTCTCGAGGGAAATGGACAGTGGACAAGCGGGGAGAAGATACCCTGGCTGGAGGGGGGGGCAGGGGGAGCAGAGGGAAGCAAGAACCTCCTGGCAAGCTCTTCTCAGAGGCTGTCCTCATTTTGAAATTCCTCCTTCTTGTGAAATCTTCACAAATGGAGTTTTCTGGATTAATTATGCATGCCATAAAAATGCACATCAGAGTTTGCCTTCAAAAGCCAGAGTGTCTAGAGTTGGAGCCCCAGCTCTGCTACATACTAGTAGGACGACCTTGGATAAATCCCTCAAACTCTCTGTGCCTAGTTCCTCATGTGTGAAACGGGGACACTGCTTCAAAAGGAAGTTGAGGTGATTTCATGATTAAATCAGGCAAAGCCCTTAGCTCGCCACCCAGCAGATATTAGGGCTCAATGGATGTTTGCTGTTGTCCCCGCCACATACCCTCTTATATATGGCTCTTATCTTTTGAATGCTTACTGTGTCCCTAGTGCTTATGAATGGTCTCTTTGAATTCCAACAAGTAGTTTTCTTTCCATTTTACAGATCAGGAAACTGAGGTTCAGTGAATTGCCCGAGGCCACTCAGTTCTGAGTGTCTGAACCAGGACTTGAATAGAGTCCTAACTGAAGCTGCTTCTTGCAGCAACTATGATCTGCCTCATCCTATCCCCCCAGGAGGGAAGTGGGGTGTTTTAAAGCCCATCGGCAGTTGCCAGATCCAGGATTCTGTCTCCCACTGGTGCAAACAGTGCATGCCATGTAGAAAGTTTGTTACAAAGTGAATCTTGTGGGGGTTGCCAGATTCACAACTGGGGGGGTGGCATACACACTGTAACTGATCAGATGGTGGCCCCCTCTCTCCCTGCCTATCTCTTTCTAGCATTCAGTCTCTGTTCTCTGTTTATGGATCTCTAAACCCAGAACCTTTTACAAGTGTAAACACTCTTCAATTAAAACAAGCTCCATTTGGACTCCTGCTTCACTTTTTAGAGCTAGAACAGCATGGTACCTATACTAGTTATTTAAAGATCCAGAATTGGCCGGTGGGAAAAGGGTTGGCATCTCTGGCCATGCCTCCCTAAGAAGATGCTAGATTTGGAGAAGCAAAGACATTCATCGTGCAACCTACAATGTCGCCTTTCGCTGTGTTTCTTGGTGTCAAGATATCCACTCCTTGGCAGGGGCAGCAGAATTTGTTCTTTTGTAAAAAAAAAAACAAAACAAAACCTGGCATTGGCTTTGTAAACAACAAACAGCTCACTAAGTTAAAATGAAGCATGCATTGTTTTCCAGAACCTTCCTGGTTCTAGGGGATGGCAAATTATGGCCCATGCTCCTGGAATGCTGATTGGAGACACTGCACTAATAACTGTCTTTCCTGCCCACAGCAATCATCTCCCACAATGGGCTGGACTCCAGAGACGTGGGCAGAATTTCTCCATACCTGGCGTAAGTGACGTTGACGTCCATTGCTTCTTTTCCAGTCTCCCCTGGGTTTTTTGGTCTCGGCATTCACATTTTCCCAGTGTCTGGTTAGGGAAGGCCTGTAGGTGCTCAGAAATGGCAGTCGAGGGGGTGGAGGAAAGAGACTGTGGTACCAGAGCCAGAAGTGTGCCAAGGACTTTTTATCAGCCCATCCAGATCCACTCTCTACCTGTCTCCATCCTAACTCCACGGATTGGATCACTGGCCTCCCCTGCCCTCTGGCTTCTGTTGGGTTTGGCCAATGGGAGGCGCCAACTGGGATCAGAGGATGGCAGGAGAGTGAAGAGGAGGGAGTATTTCTCCCCCTGCCAGGCTGGCTGCCTGCCTTTAGCTGCAGCTGGAGTCCTTGGCCTGTGTGGCTGCTCCCTCTTCGTCCTCCAGCCTGGGGTAACGACAGCTACCCCGAGGAGCTAGGCCCAGGCTGCTGCACTGTCCTGCACTGGTTCCCTTAGCCCTCCCCACACCTTTGAAAAACCATGCCTGGGTTAACCTCTCCTTGGTCACCCTGCCTGACGGTGCCTCTTCTTCCTGCCAAGTCTCTGACTGGACCAGATGCGTCTTCACTGTAAACTCGCACTAATGGAAGAATAGGCACATAGTTTAGAATGTGCACAGATTATTTACTTGAAAATAAATTACTGTCTTTTCCAGTTCCTTCCAATTAGCACAGCTGGCCAGCCTCAGAGGAAATCTGTCTTTATCCCCCTGAATAACAGAATGAGCCCCTGCTTCCTCTGCCTCTTGCAGACTCCCCGGCCCTGTGCTTCCTGTCGTTGTGAGCCTCCTAGCTACTCCTTTTGGTGTGTCTGACTTTCCTTTTGAGAAATCCTTGCCACTGCAGAGTCAAGCTCGTCCCTGGACAGTTTCAAGCAGCAAGAAGATGGTTTTTCTGAGAATTCTCTTTCCTGGCATCACCGCACTCCAGCAGGTTTGGGCCTGAACTGATTAATCAGACTGACCTGATTAACACAACTGTTGTTTCCGCTCCCACTCATAATCCTTGGGCTCACAGACAGAGTGTGACTAATGTGGCCACCCAAAGGCAGGAAACTCTGAGGCTGGTGGGGAGGGAGTGCAAGTCCAGATGAAGTGTGAGCACACACATCTGGCACGCTGGGGAAACCCTGCTGCATGCCTGGCTGGGCTGCAGACTTCTGGAAGAGGCCTTCAGGCGAGGCTTGCTCAAGCTCAGGCAGTTGGGAGAGGGGGTAGCATCTGAGTGTCTGGGTTCAAATCCCAAACCTGCTGCTTTCTGATTGGGAGCGCTCCGCCAAGTTTTTCAGCCTCCCTGCAGCCTGTGTTTCCTCCTTTAAAAATGGGGTAATAATGGAAGATCGGTGTAAGCATGAAATATAAAAGTGCTCTCAAGAAATCTATTGACATAGAAACCAGTCGCCCAGCCTAGCAGGTGCAAAGAGAGCAGGTTATGCTGGGAAGGCACAAAAGGGGGGCTTGGCCGACTGACGTAGGGTGGGTCAGGCTGCAACTGCTCAACCAGCCTTGACCAGTCTCTGCCTTCGTTCTCCTGCTTATGGAGAATGGATCGAATCGTGGCTCTTCATACTGGCTGCGTGACCTCGGAAAGTTACATGACTGCTCTCTGCCCCAGTTCCCTTATCTGTAAAATGGGGATAATAACAGTACCTCACAGGGTTGTTGCAGTCAATGAATTAATAAGTATAAAACTTAGAAATATGCCTGCCCCACTGGATGCTCAATAGGTGTTAGGTCACCCCTCTCCATCCAGTGCCTGTGGAAGGCTTGTGTGTTCCCCTCTGGCTCAGGTACGCAGGCTTCTTCCTTACGGGGAGCGAGCGAGGGAAATGTGGTTTAGTTTCTTTGGTTTGTTTGTTTGTTTCCTATGGGCCTCATATGATTGGGGTGTGAGTGTGGGGGCAGGGCAGAGGAAATCTGACTGGTAGGTGGCATCCAGGAGCTCTTCCAAACTCACCTGCCTGGAGCCCCTAACGAGAACCATTGGAAGCTCCCCACTGCTCCCTGGGATAGGCTTAGGTGTCTCTAATGGGGTCGACAAACGGCTGACATGGGAGGGGATTGGCAGAGATTTTGTGACCCAGAGGGAGCCTCGCCCAGAAAATCTCAGTGAAAATTCTCCCTCTGTGTTGGGCTTCAGACCCCGCCTGGCCTCTCCCAGGCTGTGGGCTGGGATCCTGGAGGTGAGGCCCCAAGGTTAGGAGGTGCACACGGTGGAGCCAGAGTGCCTGGGTTCAAATCCCAGCTCTGCCACGTGCCAAGTTATTTAATCTCTCAGCGCCTGCCCTGTACAGTGAGGGTAATTACAGTGGCACCCACCTCAGAGTGCTGGAGAGTGTGCTCAGAATGGTCCCTGGCCCAGAGTAAATGTTCAGTAAGCATCAGTTATTACTAGTATACCACCGGCCACAGCGCCCTCTGACTACCAGGGACAGCTATTACGGCAGCCTGAATAATGCCCCTCCTCCAAGATGTCATGTCCCAATCCCTGGGACCTGTGAATATGTTGCCTTTCATGGCAAAAGGAACCTTGCAGGGGCGCCTGGGCGGCTCAGCTCAGGTCAAGGTCTCATGGGTGGTGGGATCGAGCCCTGCGTCTGGCTCCACGCTCGGCAGGGTGTGGATCTGCTTGAGATGCTCTCCTTCTGCCCCTCCCCCCACTCTCACGAGTTCTCTCTCTCAAATAAATTAATTTTTAAAAAGAGAGAGATGAGGCACCTGAGTGGATCAGTGGGTTGGGCGTCCAACTCCTGGTTTTGGCTCAGGTCGTGAGATCAGGGTCCTGGGATTGAGCCCCGCGTCTGGCTCAGTGCTCAGGGGGAGCCTGTTTGTCCCTGCCCCTGCTCTCTTTCTCTCTCTCAAATGAATAGATGTATCTTTTTTTTTTTTTTTAAAGATTTCTTTATTTATTTATTTGAGAGAGAGAATGAGAGACAGAGAGCATGAGAGGGAAGAGGATCAGAGGGAGAAGCAGACTCCCTGCCGGGCAGGGAGCCCGATGCGGGACTCGATCCCGGGACTCCAGGATCATGACCTGAGCCGAAGGCAGTCGCTTAACCGACTGAGCCACCCAGGCGCCCCTAGATGTATCTTTTTTTTTTGGTAAAGGAGCCTTTGCAGGTGTGATTAATTTAAGGATCTTGCGATGAGGAGAGTATCCTGGATTTTCCACGGGTGGGAAAGTATCCTCGATTTTCCACGGGTGGGCAAGACGCAACCAGCGACAGTCGGCTTTGAGGATGGGAGTTGGCCCCCAGCCAAGAAATGCAGGCGGCTTCTAGAAGCTGAAAAAGGAAATGAGATGGATTCTCTCCTAGAGCCTCCATAAAGGAACTCCACTGTGCTGACAGCTCGAGACCCATTTCCGACCTCCAGAATTGTAAGTTTAAATTTGTGTTTTAAGCCACTAAGCTTCTAGTAATTGTTACGGCAGCACGGGGAACCATACGGCGAGCGGCCCAGACCCAACACAGCTGCATCCTTGAAGGCGGAACCACGCTGAGTCACTCCACAGTAGGTAATAAGCCTCTGTGGTGTCACGCATATTGCTTGTCCTGTGCAGGTGTGGGGAACACACCGGACCATGGAACTGAATGTCCCCTGCGCACAGGCACCGCTAGGCGCTGAATATTCAAGGGCAGGAGAGCTCAGGGTGGGCTCAGTGGGTTGAAAAAGGCCTCCTGGAAAAGCTGGACTCGCAAGCAGGGCCTTGAAGGATGGAAGGTGTGGGGTTTGGGCAGGGACGAGGGAGGAGGAGGAGGAAGGAAAGGCATTGCTGGAGGGGGCCCAGCAAGACCAAAGTCAGGGAGGTCAACCCAGTTATTCATTCATTATTCATTCATCTCTTCACACCCATGCTCCAGACCCAACACCTGGATGGTGAAGTGAGTGAGACAGACCTGGTGGTGGTTCTTAGGAACTTATACTTGGGAGTGGAAGCCAATACCCCATTACAGTAAAGCATAACAACCCTAACAACGGGAGGAGTACAGGCACATCTGGGTGGGCTTCCTGGAGGAAGTGGCCCTTCAGGAATAGATAAACTGAAGGCTTGTTCTGCATCACTTCAGGCTCTGTGTGATGCTCTGTATTCAGTAGGTGCCGACTGATAGAAGTTGAGCCATGTATTTTGTTATTCCTTATCCAATTCTCTCTTAACCTGTTTTACTGCACTAAGGAGAAAGTCTCAGCTGGGTGTTAGTGTGCCTTTAGTTCTTAATTCTTGTTAATCTCCCTTTGTAAGCTAGCCTCAGGTGTGTTCTGCAGGCAATAGGTGCTAATCTAAGTTTAAAACCAACATTGCTTGGTTTTCCTTGTTTTTATTTGTTTAATTACCTTACTTTTGTGGCAGAGGGTACTGATTTTCCACTTCTGCGAGTGGAACCCAATTTCCTTTTAAAAATAAGGGTATTTAAGTGTCATAGAACCGTGAGTGGGGGGGGGGTTCTCCCTCCTGGAGTTGACCAGTGGGGCCCAGTTGAAGACAAAGAGGGGCACCCAGGGTGCCCCGAAGCAATGGGCCTGACCGTTCCTTAGGACTTCCACTTCCTGTTCTGCACCCCTGACCCACATCTGCAGTGCTGGGGAGGGCAAGCGGGAACTGGGATCAGAGGATGAGCCACTGGGAGGCTGAGATTCTCCCAGCGAGTTCCCATGGAGTGGCGTTGGGCTGCTCCAGAGCGAGGAGCCCAGCAGTCCCTCTGCTCAGGCAGGGGCATGCTAATGGGCTCAGTGTGCCTTTTTGGTCGGGAAGAAAAGAAGCCTGGGGAGAGACAGGAGCCAGCCAGGGGGCAGTGAGCGGCCTGCACGTCCTCCGTGTGTCATGCAGGCTGGCGTGGCAGACAGGAGCTAAGTTCCCAGAGGGCTGTCTGGTGGGGCCGGAGCACAGGGGGCACGAGGAGATGGTATTGGAGCCAGGGCGCCCGTGTCAGGGATTCGGACAGTGGGGAGGCCCCAGAGGACCCTTTGCATTGTACCCCCGAGGGGCCACCCATCAGGGACCATCAGGGCCAGTGCAGGCTGGCCAGAGAGAAGAGATGACCAACAGTGAGAGGACATGGCTGGGGGGAGGCTGCATGATGGGACCAGGATCCTGGTCTCTCTCCCTCCTGCCCCCAACACAGTGAGGGCGTCAGGCCCTGGAGTGGAGAAGGAGGGGGCCCTCGTCCCTGTCCTCTCTTCAGAATATAGGTTCTCTTTGTCCTTAGCCAGGGGCCCCAGGGGTCATTCTGGGGTATCAGGGCCCCCAAAAAATTGATGGACTCTGCCCGAGAAGCTGTGAAGCAGCCTAGGGAAGATCTGAAAATAGTGATAGCAAGAGATCAGGTTTCAAGTGTCTGTTTCCCGAGTAGAGGTTCTGCCATAATCCAGTTTCTAAAGTAAAAATATTCAAGAAAAATATTATGTGTATAATAAAATGGAACTTGAGTGGCTGAGTTCTTGAAACTGACTTAGGAGGGAAAGCTAGGATTCACACAGCAATGACAATACTCTGATAACAGCTATGAGTAGAGGATGATGGGCAGGGAAGGCCAGAGTACCTGATCAAGAGGAGGACAGTCAGGGTAGCCTTCCTGGAAGAGGTGACTTTTAAACTGAAACCTGCAAGGGGATGAGGAGGCATCCTGGGAATCCTCCCAGTGACTGGTGTGTATGGTGCTGTGGGTACAGAAGGGGTCCTGAGAGTATTGATGGTGGGGTCTTAAGAATTTCTCATCAGTGCAGGGATAATATTGCCTTAGATTCTGATCATTTAGGGCAGGAAAGAGAAGCATGGTGGACCTTCTGCCAGTTACTCCTTGAATTATAGCCTGTCTCCCCAGCTAGAGTGTGAGTTAGATGGGCAGGGACCAGCTCCCTCCATCCTGGGTTTCAGCCTGGCAGAGGGCCCATTTGCTGAATGAGTGATAAGGAATGGAGCGGGGAGCGGTTGAGACAGGTGGGTGTTAGTTCGCTCTCTCTCCCACCTCCCCATCAGCAAAGTCTCCAGCCTGGGACCTGGCCCTTGGACTCCGCCCCCAGTGCTCTTGGGGAGGGGGGGGACACCTTAGCGGCAGTTATGCAGGGTCAGGGCATGTCCCCAGAGGACCTGAATGGTGTTGGCCTTTTGAGATTTGCCTCCACCCCGGGGACCCCTGGGCCTGCTGCCCACCTCCCCAAATGCCACCCTCGTGACACAGCTTCTGGGTGGTAGGTCCCTGGGCCCCAAAGCACTATCAGTGTGGACCCTGGAATGACAGGGACCTACTTCCCAGCCCTTCTCCTCCTCCACTCCCCACAAAGGCCTTTATCCGGAGACTGGATTTTGAATTTTCCGCCGCAGGAGATGTCCGGGAGCCGGCCTTGCTGAAGGTCCAGCGGTGCCCTCGGCCGGCCGGCGGCCGCTGTCATGCCCACACTGCCTGCCCCGCCGTCTCGGCCCAAACCCCAGCGGCCCCGGCGCACTCACCTCTCTCGGGTCCCGGGCGCAGGAAGCCGGGCCTCGGCGGGCGGGAGCGGAGGGACGCGCGGCGGCGGCGGGGGC